GGGAGGCAGAGAAATGACAGAAAGGCAGGCCCGAAGCACAGAATGTACAAGTGCTCTGTTGCCTGGTACAGTGTGTGGAAAGGGATTATCGTGAGGTTAGGTTAGAGAAGAAGGGAGGGTCACATTTTATGGCTAAGAATTTGGAAAACTCTAGAAGGTGCAATAAGGGAACAACAGAATACTTTAGGTCCCTTTGGTGACAATAAAAAGGGTGATTTGGGATGAAGGTAGGAAGACCTTCAAGCATCTATCGTCATGATCCATGCAAGAACACAAGGGTCGGGGTGGGGTAATCAATTATCTGAAGGGAGAAGGAGAGACAGATTTGAGAACTATCTATCTGGAAAGTAAACTGAGGCATAAACCTGACTACTCTAATGAGATGGCAGAAGAAAAGGACATCAAGATTTTCAGAGCTCTAGATAAAGATGTGGATACCATGAAATGGTGTAGAGAAGGAAGAAAAATGCTCTGATTTGGATCTAAAATATTCCCCCTAGGCCAGGAATGGTGGCATACACCTGTAATCCCAGCACTTGGGAGGTTGAGGCAGGAGGATAGCTGCAAATTTGAGACCAGCCTGGACTACCTAGTGAGTTCCAGGTCACTCTCAACTACATAGTGAGACCCTGTCTCAAAAAAACCAGCCAACCAACCGAACAAATAAAAGATTCCCCCCAAAATGAGAACCAAGACCTGTCATGTAAAGGTACAAGATCCCAAGGATGAATGGAACTGTACTGTATACATAGAATGTACCAATAAACAACAACAAAAAAATCCCCCAAATCTTCCCCCTCAGCTCAGAGCTGAGGCTTTTGGAAGACTGCAGAGTAATCCACTGATGAGTTCTCGGCTAAATGTACCTTGTTTCTGGAGGGAATATCTCCGAGGCTGACTCTTCCTGTTTCCTCTGCTTCGTGGCTGACACAGGTGAGCAACTCTCCCCTGCCCAGCTCCTGCCCTGTGCTGTTTCTGCCTTGGAGTTAGCCAGGCATAAGAGGAAGCCCCTGAAACCAAGAGCCAAACAGACCTCTCCTCCTTTAACTTGTGTATGTCAGGCATTTTGTTCCACTGACAAGAGAGCCGGCTAACGGTGAGGTTTAGGAGAATGGGTGACTATTTGGAGGTGGAGCCTGTGAAACACCAGTCAGTAACAACCAAGGGAAATTACCCTCTTGCCAGTTACATATGAGCATGGAACCGAGTGACACTTCTAGAAAAGAAACAGATGTGTGGATATCAGCAATATTTCCAGGTGCCACTGAAACCAGAAGAGAATGAAATGTGGAACTCAGAACACACTGGCATCTATTGGACTCGAAGCCCTTTTCAAAAAGTGAGAGAAACCACAGACGTGAATGGGGCAACCCGGCAATGCCTACCTGAGTCTTTGTTTCACTTACGGAAGAAGCACAGCTTGGAGGGGTACTGGACTGAATTGCTGATTTGAGGGGTCAGACCCCAGTTCAGTACATCAGAGCCAGGGAATCTACCTCCGTTTCTGAATTTTCAGCAAGTCCTTCAGGTGAGAGCTAGTGTGCAGGCATTTGCCAGCCAATGTTCTGTTTGTCCATGCAACACTTTTGCTGGCTCTAGGCACAAAACTTCTAGACATGGGCATAAGAGGCAATTAATAAAATGTTCCCACCACCTAGAGATCCTTTACTGGAATCAGAGGCCTCAGCAGACTTAACACAAGCTGGGACTGTAAAGGCACTTCTTGTTTTTCACCAAATGCTAAGAGCTGTACCCACTCAAAGTGACAGACTTTTCCCTTAGCAGCAACAGCTAGACTATAGAACAAAGTATGAGCTTACAGTCAAGTGTAGAATTTGTGTGGAGGTCAGCAAAATAGTAGAAGAGGCAGGGCATTTTAGTAGTGCTGCACTTCAGCATCGTATATCTGCTGTGTGATGGGGGGCATTCACTTAACCTCTCAGAGCCTTAATTTTCTCATTGTAAGAGAGTTCAATACTAATTATCTCATTATTTGGTTGTAAGCACTAAATGAAGTCACATATGCAAGGTATCTAGCTTCTGGAAATCTCCTAAGAATAAAATAGACCACTATGAATACTAATACTGGGAAACACTGAGACCAGAGGCGCTGGGATAGCTGAGTGCTTTGAAATCTTTTCAGGGTCTCAGATTCTCAGGGTAGGGTTATGTCCTTGGCAAAAATGATTGTATTATTTGTCTTTCTTACTCTTACTTTCCTAGAAGATATTTTGCAACGAAGGTAAGAGCCTTTTTAAGTTTCAACCTTTAATATCAATTATTTCTGAATTGTTTTTGCAATTATAAAAGCCCCAAATTAACATCCACTGAATTTTCTCTTCTGTGATCAGTGAGGAAGTCGACTCATAGTAAGTACGCTGAATACACTGTGTGCTGCCCCTCACAGTCCTAATGTCCGAAATGCTCTCCAATTCTATTTTGAGAACTAGCATCTTTTCACGCAGCCTTAAACATGTCAGTTTCTTAATGCACTCACGGAGGACAATATGCTAATATGCAATTCAAGTTGCAGGTTTGAATGTTGCCCCTCTGGGTGGAGAAAAGCCTCAAAGACCGGAAGCCCCAGTCCCAAATGTTCATCCTACAACACACAAAAAGACAAAACCTCACAGAGGAGGTGGGGTCACGATACCCCCCTTTCCTTCGTTTGTTATGTACAGTGTCTCTGCTCTGGCCTCTAGATTTCTTCGTGTACCTTAGAGAATCATAGAGACAGAGGTTTGAACCAGCGTCTAGCGGTAAATAAAGGGTGCTTCATCCCAAGTCGCTATCACCCAATAGCTTCTTCCCCACCTCTCTCTCTCTCTCTCTCTCTCCTCCTAAAGACTATATCTTTGGAAATTGAGAATATTCAGCGAACAGAACTCATAAATCAAATCATTATCATTAATAATCAAAGTGAGACGTTGTAAGAAATAGCAAATTAATCACAACTGGCAGGTGAAGCTGCTTCCTGCTTGTGCTTTCTGCATGCTAAAGGGAGCAGAGTTCTCCCCAGTGAGATTGTATTTTTTTATTTGTTTGGTTATTTTCTTAGCGAACTCTGCATTTTGTTGTTGCTGTGGTTGTTGTTGTTGACTGGGAATCATGTCCAAATCCAAGTTCTCAGAATACTGTTCAATTAAATTTGCTGTTTAATGAAACTTTATTTTCTTTTTATTATTGAGTTTATTGGTACAGTCTCTCTGGTGTGAAAAACTATAATAGTACACAAGATCCCAATGGGATAATTAATAGTGTTAAATAGGAAGAAAAGGGCTAAAGGTGTAGGGAAAACTTTATTTTCATAACTGCATTTGTTCCACCAATGAAATTTATTATTATTCAGTGTGCTTTGTTAGTAATAAGATTGCACATTTGAAATGAAGGCATTTTTCTGCAGAGGATAAGCAACGAATTGCATCACAATTTTATATTCAGAGTTACTTATTTTCTATATTTCAGATCATACTTGACAGTCTATAATCTTAGTTTAAATGCCTTGTTGATCAAAATAGTAGAGAATGCTAACTATAATATCTTCTACTTCTTTGGTAGTTTTCATAAGCATGAGGTTTGAATACATTTTATTTCTCCAGGAAAAAAAAATCTCTACCATCATCATGTTTGCTTTTTTAGTAGGCCTATAAAATAAGAACAACTTTCTTTAATAAAGAAATATTAAGTTAAGAAGACTTAAATTTCTGCCAATGTCACACAACAAATCTGTGTTTGAATTTAGAATACACTCTTTCTTCCTTTTTTTTTTTTTCGTGGTACCGGGACCTTGCAAGGCAGGCAACAGAACCACTGAGCTAAATCTCCAGTCCTATATGCATTATTTCTTCACCCAACACTCAATGATGTTGTGTTGTGAGAAATTTCTATGGTATGTGGACTTTTGAAATGCCATATAAATTTTTAAAAATAGAAGAAAGTAAATATAAATTTATGAATTATATTTTCTATATTTCATTAGAATATGTTGAATGATAAAACTGTGTCAAATATTTCTGGAAGTATAGAAAAATGTTAAATTTCACATTTAAGGGGGAAAGCAAACAAAAATATGTAAAAATTTGAAAAAACAAAAGCAACATACATTAAAGAATTGAGAAACAGTGTTTCAGTAAAGCCTGTGTACTTACAGAACACTGAACTTTCATTAGGCCTAACTTATCTAAAAACAAAGGGAGTGCGGAGGCCAAGACCTTGTTACTCAGAATCATTTTTCCTTTCCATGACCGTTACCAACTCAGTCACCCTCATCAGAACTCCAGGGTTTAACCAGAAAGCCACACAAGGCCCTAATATTGGGATCTCGTGAGCGCAGATCTCCCAAAAGCTTTTCAGTAGACCCCTTCAGGTGTCTATTTCTTTCTTATTTCTCACAAGTACATCTTTTCTTCCCTTGGGAAAGCATTTCTATTTGGTGAAGGAGCAAAAGTATGATTGTATGATGGGTCTTATACTGAAAATAGGCAAGGAAAGCGGTTGGAACATAGGTAAGCGCATTTTTTTCCCTTTAGCATTGTTATACATTGGCTACCTGGTCATGTGTATTTTCTGGGCAGTATCTGTGGCATCATATGTCATTCACCTTGAATTTCTTTCCGTGCTACTCTTCCACAGGGAGAGTTTGTCCTTGAACAGGATGAGACGCTTCCTGTTCCAATGAGCTTTGTCCTGAGGCACCCGGCCTGTTCCCGGGCACACGAGGCCTTTACGGTCCAACGCGCCTCACTTAACGAACAGTTGTCTTCGATCATGTCACAGTTTTCTATTTGGTTAACTGCAAGACAGTCACTTGCTCCTTTGTCATAATTCAGTATTGGATTTTAAGACGAAAATTAGCGTAGAAAATGTGAAATCCAGTAGAATCGATCTTTTCCCTCCCCTTTCCCTGCCTTTCTATTTCACCGCCTTCCTCCCTTCTTTCTTTTGCAATATTTGGGAAAATGTTTTAGCAGACACACTGTATCTCTTTCTCAAGGAGTCCAGATTATTTCCTGTGTGAAAGATAAATGCACTGGCTCCCTTTGTGATCCTCCAAAGCATCGCATTGATATTACTCCCTCAGCCTGGAACTGTTTATGTGATTTGGAACCCATCTGGAGCCCAAAGAAAGCTGTTGATGTGCCGTGTGACTCAGGAACCCGCAAGTAGTATCCAGGGGTCGCAAAGGTAAGTTTCTTGACTGCTTGGTACTTTGTTTACTTTTTAATCACTCCAGCTGGTGCATAAAATTACTAAATAAATTGTAAGCCACAGGAACCCAGAAGTCAAACATTTCCCTGGCATAAATAATTAGCTCAGGCAGATTTTCCTTCCCTCTTTTCCTTTTTTCCTTCTTCTTTCTCCCTCCCCCCTTTCATACACTTACCCATTTTTTTTTAAATAACTCTCACAGTTATAGAAATGGCTGCAGAATAAAGTGAGGCTTTTAAGGTCTGTTCTTTGCAATTTAACTGCGCAAATGTAAAAGTGCCTGAGCAATAATGCACGTTAGGTTATTCAATAACACAAGGAATGTAAAGCGATTTCATATCTCCTTGAATCAGAAACATTAATTAATCATACGATGAGAATGCAACGTTTTATTTACCAGTGCAAGAGGCTGCCAAGATCGTTCTGACTTTAATAATTGCACACGCTGTTGAGGGAGGAAAAATTAATTTAGTTATTAAATTGCAGGGTGCTTTTTTTCTATCATGATGAAGCTGGCAGTTCATGAAGTAGGCAGTTCACAATGTTACTGTTACGAGAGTTGGGAATGTGGATTACTTTTACTGAAAGCTTTTCCCACTTTATTTAAAGAAAAATGGAAAAAAGAAGCATCGGTAATTGTACACCAAGCTTGTTTCTCATGAATATAGAATGATAAAACACAAGAAAATAAAAGTTTCTGTTTTTCCCTCAGGCACAGATGGACTGCTGTGGAGTAGAGGTACGCAAACATGATGAGCTCACAAGGCTTAAATGTGGGCGGCGGACGTGTCCGGGGCCGTAGAGCAACTGCGGAGGTCCGGGGGAGCAGAGCAGGTGTCCCTGAAGTGTGACATCGCAGGAGACGGCGCAGCAAAGCGTGGTGGGATGATTTGCCATCATCCTTTGTCCGCCTCCTCTTTGAGCATGTTTATTTCCCCGGCAGAATTTTTTTGTTCCCTTTTTTTTCTTTAGCTTTCAAGTTCCCACTTTCAAGGATCATTCCAAGATCCTTTCAAGAGTTTGGGTCACCTTAACCTAAATAGATCTTGTTTATTATTATTATTATTATTATATTACTTTATTTTTATCCTCCTCTTCCTTTTTCACTTTCTTTTCTTTTCCCCTTGCTTTTCTTCGTAGCACTTTCCAAACACATAGCCCTGCACCATATGTGCTGTGTGTTAACAGGCGTATTGTCTTTTATGTTCTGCACACCTTCTGGAGGGTGAATATAAGCTCTTGCCAAATTTTGCAATTCTAAGTATTATATAGCGTCGTGGGATACACTGGTTATCAACAACTGACCATTGCCTTTGCTGTGTTTAGTAGGAAACAACATTGATATGGGGGTGTACTCCCCACTTTCAGCAGTTTATTGTGTACTTTCCTCTTACAGGCAATTAGTAATCCCAGCCCCCAGTGTTTTCAGCACTAAATTGTTTTATTCCAAAATATCCTATTGTCTCTAGCATCATGTGGTCTGACATTGTAATTGTATGCTTGTTTTTATGTATTTTATTTAGATCGCGGTGTTTTCCCAAGATACCTAGAAATTTTAATAGCTTAAAAAAATTGAAGATGAGAGCTGGTACTTGGAGGTAAAAGGTAAAGCGGTGAGTTTTTTGGTATATCATTTTTATTTAAGTTTTCATTTATATTTAGTGAGACATGAAGTCTTCTAGCATTTTAAAATATTTAATAATTATACAACTAATTAGAATTGAAGGCTACTATTAGATCTATATGCATGCAGCATTAATAGATATGCAATAAATTATGACATATGCAATATTAATATCCATAAAGCCTGCATAGAATGTAATTGGATTTACCTTCAAAAATACAGTGTTAAGAGCATCAGTGGAGATGGTTCTCTAAAGGCAACACATCTTTAAATGTTATTGTGAGATCTTAACATTTAGCTACTGTTTTTTGCATGTATGGCAATGTTATCCCAAATTTCTTTCCTCAACAACACTGAACTATCCATTTTTATCTCCTGAAAAAATTGGAAGAAGGAAAACATTTGTCTTCATTTAAAATTCCCATAATTCATTTTGTAGATACCAGCATTATTTGGAAATTGTTCCTATGTTTCTATACTTGTGTTGAGAGGAGAGATAAAAATGAAAATCACTGAGCTTTTGTAAGGAAAACCCTCAGTGTCGGCAATATTAAATACTTTATATATGAACATGTTTTAAAATTCTAGACTCTGAGGCCAATTATTAAAGGCAGTGCTTCAAAACAGGTTTGTTGGAATTACCTTTGTGAAAAATGTGTTTATTGGGATTACTTGTGTGAAAAAGGAACACTGCTGTTACATTCATTAAAAGAAATTTGACTTCCACAATTCTAATATATGGACAAACTGCAAAACTTTACAAAGCAGAGTAGTCAACTAAGAAGAATGTACTAATAGGGACAAATGACTTTTGAAAACTGAGTGGAATCAATTCAGTAAAATAAGTAGAGTTTCTAAAATGAGTACTGAAACAATTTCCTATGCAAAGGTAAACTTTGATTCATACCTTCCACCATATAATATATCTATAGTTTATGAATTTTAAAATCTTCCAGAGAAAAAAGCAACAACAACAACAAAAATTCCATTAACCCTTGATGGACCGACAGTGCCATAACAGAGTTGAGGAAATATGTAAGTGCAGAGCAATAACCCTACCATTACAGCAAAACAAGGAGGTGAGGCTCAATGGATGAAGGAGTTTGGGTGAGGTAAAGAAAAGCATGACATCAGAACTTGGAAAGCACTGAGAGCACATTTTTGTGCAGGTGATAGCTACTTTCCCTGGTGTGTTGCTAGCGTAACTTGGTATCTGTCAAGACAATCACTGAGAATGTTGCCATACTTGGAAAGAAACAGGGATCAATATTAGCAATGTTAACTAATTAGCAATGTTTCAAAACATCACACAGAAGGACTTCCATGATACAATGAAAACAAATATTTTCAGATAGTGAAAACACTTCGGACCACATAGATTTATGGTTCAGCTGTCTCTCAAGTTGAGAACAAAGAATGATAATTCTTTTGAAAACTAGTCACCAAGTAGCCATGGCAACTCACAAAGCTTAGGAATTAAAAATTTGTTTACTATTCAAAAGAAAGCCTGAATGTTTTAGAGACTCATTCTACATACTTTACACTCAAGTCAAACAAACCTGACTAACTGCATCTTAGAAAAAAGAAATTACAAAGAAATTATATTTCAATGAGTAGTTAAACTAGAGCAACAAGAGAAAACTGACATCTTAGTTCAAGGAAGAGACATAATTATAAAAACCATAAATAATAAGGACCAGAGTTCAATCCCTGGTATCCCACCAAAAAAACCCAAAACATAAATAAGACTAAAAATTAAGTTTTCTGGGCCTTGTTATGATAATGTTGGATTCTGTTCAATATCCTCTGTTAGAAGACCAAATACAATATATGACATCATTTTAATTAAAATTATTTTCTTAAATATTTGTATAAGGAGTGAACTCTTTGTTATTTGGAAATTAGTTGAAGATTATTCTCTGAGAGTTCTAGAAAGACAGTATTGTACTTAATAATATTTAGGTTCACATGAAACTTGTTATTTCCTACTACAGTCATAAACATTACTGAACAATACTTAAAATATGTGGGTAAATAATTTCAAATACCTAGGAGCAAATTTTTGCAAATGATTATTAAGAAAAATTATTTCTTATTTTTATTTAATTTGTTAAGATAATTTTATATTTTGTGGGGTGGTGATTCCAAATGTTTTAAGAATTATATATAATGACCTTATTAACATAGTCATGCCCATTTTAAACATCCTTAATGCACAAAGAAGTGTGTCTGATACTAGGGTACCCTGTCCTAAGACCAAAAGATTCACATTTTTGTTTGAAAAGCAAAGCTCCACTATAAAATGGTAACTAATAAACAATGGTTGGCTCATGAATGGAAGATAAAATATATACTGGAGAAACCAAAGTAATGATTATATTAAGAAATGTAGAACTCAATACAAAACCTATTTCTGTTCCAAACTGATGCCTATATTCCTACATTAATCCTCTTTCAAATTTATGCATGATGTAAAGAGAAAAGCATAAAGTGGAAATCAAGAGACCTTAGTTCTATTTATTGCATGTAATTTTTGAAATGTTATTTAATTTTGCAAATAAAGAGAGTTAAATCAGATCATTTCATTTTGTTAATTTCTACTTAATAGTTTTTTGAGAAAAATGCCTTCTCTATATAAACCAAGTCAGAGTTGGAAAAGAGTTATTTGGGGACCTTGTAAAAAACAGTACATGAAAATCTTCTTTTTGCATTACCTTTTTGATTTTTGGTACCGGGGATCGAACTCGGATCCTTGAGCTTGTGAGGCAGCCAGTGGAACCACTGAGCTAAATCCCCGGCCCTGTATTATCTTTCACATTGTTTCTGCCTTGGAGCCAGCTGGCCATGGACTGACAACCATGATCTGGAATAAATCTTTCTCCCCTCAATTTGGTTTCTAGGTATTGTATTGTGCCATAGCAACACAAAGCTGAGTAACAGAAAACTGGTACCAAGAGTGGGGTTGTTACCGTGACTCTGGAACTGGTTCGTGGAAGGAGTCTGGCAACTTTTGGAGCACAAAGCTTAAAACACAACGTCTTGACTAAAGTCAGGACAGCCGAATGATCCGAGTCTATGAGAGTTGTCAGCTTTACAATCACAAGCAAGGTTGTTATGCAGATGTTTAGCATGGAAATGTGCACTATCAAACAGCGTCTAAACAGTCCTTGCATTCATATTCTTTTTTTTTTGTACTAGGGATCAAACTCGGGACCTTGCACTTGCGAGGGAGACAGCAGAACCACTGAGCTAAATCCCCGGCCCTTCATATTTATAGTAACATTTGTTTCTCTTCGTTTGGAGCAAAACAGCAAAGTACTGCTGAACTTCTCAAAGATATTTGACATATAATACATTTGGGGACAACGTACCAAGTGTTCCTAAAAGCAACCTCTCAAAATTCTTAAAATCTTTCTCTTCCCCTATGTTTTCCTCCCCTTCCTCTCCTTGTTCCTCTCTCTGCCTTCCCTCTCTTGAGGTTTCCCTTCCCTTCCCTTCCCCTCTACTCTCCTCTTTCTTGTACTTCTCCTTTCACCATAAAGTGCTCCATACATATTACATGAACAGAACTACAAAGATCAAGGTGCCGACAGAAAGAAAGAAAAGGAATGTCCAAATAAAAGTGAAACCTAGGTAAAATTATAGCAATGTGCATATTGTCAAGAAAGATGAAGTATGACTCCACATTATGCAAAAAATAAACGAAATGAAATGCAATAGCTTTACAAATCAAATTCTACTTCAAATTTACTAAGGATCTGGCAAGATAAAGACTATTAAATGTTTTAAAATTTTTTAAAATGAAGTAATAATTGCTTTATTGATTCAGAAAATGAGGGATTAAAATATCAGATTTATTTTAAGAACTAAAACTGAAAATTAGAATCAGTTATACCTCATGTATCAAACCACAAAAATCCAGGAACATGCTGTTTGTTAAACAGATCTCAAAAAAGGAATGAAAATAAACAAACAAACAAAAACCACATGCATGCACAAAAACCAACAAAGCTAGAAAAAATCTCCAAACTGTTCAATTTAAATGCTCTCATGATTGTAGAATAGCCCCTTTCTGTACTGTGTATGTTAGCAATACATTTATGTGACAAAACAATATTTGAGTCATGTGAGAGACAAAGAGAAAGATGAAGGCTACAAGAAGTATTTTATTACCATCAGGGTATAAGCCTAGATCTCTGATTTTAATTACTGCAATATATTAAGAAAAATAAATTTATTAAGAATATTCATGAAGACATTCCTAAAATTCCAGCTCACAAGGCGTTACTAGAGGGCAATATTATATTGATGAATGCTGGTTTAGTAAACAAGATAACAAATATTGTGGAACTGGGCATAATGTTCTCCTTGCAAGGAACTCCAACTACCTGAGTTACCTTGGCCATATTACTTGAGCTTTGAGATATGCTCGCTTCATCTTTACAATGGAATGACTGGGCAATATCGCTGGGAATATTTGGACTTACAGGACGTGAAACATAGAGGCTTTCTTTGGATCTCTTGCTAATTAAACAAAACACAACAAATCCACTCTTAAAAAAAAACCTGAATTTATCCACTCTGACTAAATTCTAGACAATTTTAGACAGTGATGTAGAAAATGTCTCTCAGAATTTTTCACATAAATTTCACTTCTCTAGTCACAACTGGTGGATTGAGAAAAAATTTAGTATACTCTGCCTCTCATCTTCTTACTTGCTTGCTATTTTATCTTTGTTCTCTTTCTCCTGGAAAATTAACATCTGAAAGGAACACTCAAGTCTTTTAATTCAAACAAAACCCTGTGTCCTAATGAAAGTGGGTTTATTATTATTTTTGGAATAATTTCTTAACTTGCTATAAGTTTTTCTGAGTTCTGTAAATCTGATAGTCTGACAAATGATCCCTCGGCTATAAACTTGTAAATATGCATGAAGTAGTGAAATAATTTTACTGTGGTCAAGAGAATTAGGCTCTAGGCTTTGTTCTTCAATTAATAGATGATGAGACTGAGAGCAAATCTTAGGGACTCTGTATTAAGGTTTGGTTGGAGAATTTCTCCCAAAGCTTCATGTATTTAGAGGTGCGGATTTGGGGAAGAGATTGGATCTCAGTGCATCGATCCACTAATGAGGTCAAAGCTAAATGTGGCATTAGCAGATAGGGTCTCCAGTGCAGAGGGGAGTGTTTGCGGCATGAGTTGGGGGGTGCATCTCCCTCCTTGGCCCCTCCCTCTATCTCTGCTTCCCACCTGCCGTGATGTGAATAGCTTTCTTCCACCTAGACCTGTCCACCATGCTGCTCTTGCCTTATAACCAGCCTGCTACGGACTGGAAGTCCCAAAAAACATGAGCCAGAATGAACTTCTCTTCCTTTAAGTTTGGATCTTGCATAATTTGTCCCCCACATGAGAAAGTCATTAAAACACTCTAGTTATCCTTTCCTCAACAGAAAAATTCTAATTGCACTGGTAATCAAATCGTATTTGAAGGTTCTCTCATTCTAAAAGTTTAGCAGTATAGAAGAAATTACATAGGAAGAGACTCCTTTAGTGAATTTGAACAAATAAATGCATTCAAAAAGCATTTGATGAAGTAGGGTTTATTCAAATTATTTGTATGAATTCTGAACTTTCCCATTTATATATAAGTATTTAAAACTAAATGAGATTATTCTCTCCTGGCATATATCCTGCTTTATAGCAAAAATATCCTTTGTAAAATTTCAGAAGTATTCAGATGTATTCTATAAATGTCATTATATTAGCACTTTATTTTTTATTTTTTGTACCGGGGGTCGAACTTGGGTCCTTGCACTTGTGAAGCAGGCGGCGGAACTACTGAGCCAAATCCCCGGCCTACTAACACTTTATTAACGTGACATCAAAGTAGATCATCATAGCAGCTGAGTCAAATAAACATTTGTTTTCCACTAGGAAATAATCACTTAAATATTCAAGATTTGTAATTTGTATCCAAGCGGGCATTATTGTTTTTTCAGAACTCTTTATCTGTTAAATCGACTGGAGGTAGGTGCTGCGGGTGTAGCTCCTCGGCACTGCTGCCTGACAAGCCCAAAGTCCTGAGTTCAATCCCCGGTAGTGGAACAGAATGATGGTCATTTCTGAACTACACTGAGGACTCCAGAGTAGCTGCTGGAGAACTCACAGGGATTCAATTAATATTTTCATGTCGTTTTAATGAGATTCATGCCAGGATCAAAAGGAAGATGGACACTGCCATAAAATTATCATATCTGCCATGTAAAACAAATAAGCGACTGTGGATTTTGATGGGTCTTACATTAGAAACACACGTGGTGCTCACAGGGCGAGAGTTTTGACCCAGCCAGAGAGGGACACTCAGGACAAACCTACCCTCGGAGGAAGGTGACTGCCTCCAAATTCTTGTATCTAATAATCCTGACGTTGACATTGCCTGGGAATCAAGCTGATTAAAGGATCCTCTTGATCCCCACCGTGAGACCCCCAAACTTGGCCAAATATTCCCACAGAACCTCGTTGCTCTTATCTCAAATCGTGATCGTATTCTTTGCAATTTACACAGTAAAAATAGGAGTTACTTATATCCGTTCCTGCTCTTCCAAAGAGTTCTATAAGGTTAGGCAAAAGTTAAACTGCAGTCTCAGCTACACAATCTGAAAATGCAAATAATAGCTAGATTTAATTGGAAAATTAAATGGCATGAGAATTAAATGCAGGGATACATTGTAAACACCCTAAAGATGCTATGAAAATGGAAGCTATTAGTATTATTAATATCACAAGCTGGTCTCTTACATAGATGAAGGCCTTAATGTAAACCATTGTCTGGCTAAGTTTTGCTCTTTTAATAGTTTGTGGCTAGCATACATAGGTAAATGTGTTACATGATGCACATTAGTTTTGTAAAATATGAGCTTTGGGCAGTAGATGAGGCCCTGCTTGCCTTCATTTAGCACAAAATATGAGGCGGGATCAAACTTGAATTTAAGAAGGTGAGGAAAGGGACTGTGGAATCTGCAAGTGCATTTTTTTATCTCACCGTCACTGGTCACCCAAAAGAAGCAAACAAAAGAAAATAAAGTGATTAAATAACTATGTAGCCAAAAGGCAGGACAGCAGGTGCTGTATTTATACTTGTGAAAAACTCAGCTTTACAGTCCATGAATTCTAAATTCCCACTAGGAGCCAGGAAGTGTCAGTGTTGTAGACCAGTGATAGAATAGTGGGATTAGTTGTGCCTACAGGCCTGGTGTGTGGGCAAGAGGTGACCGTCTTCCTGAGGCGCTGGCTGGGCTGGGGTCCCACTGTAAGTCGGCAGAGCGGCCTCTGGAGAAGACATTCTTCACAACCTTCATCTGCACAGGGATTCACTAAGTAGCTTGTTCCAGAAGTGTGTTTGCAGGATTTATTTGCTGTGATCAACAACAAAGAACAGACAAAAATGATCATTGACCTTTGGGAAAAGAGGTCTAAGATCTCCTTTATAGTGTGACTGTGAAAGGTACTTTTTGTAATCTCAACGTTCATTTAGGAAAACTTGAGGAAGATGGTTTTGGCTTTTTCTTTTCTTCTTTCTTTCTTTTTTTTTTCGGGGCTGTTTGTTTTTCACACAGGAAAACACATCGCTGCTTCAGGTTTGTCTTGAGAACAAATTACTCGAAAATGGCTTAGAGAATATGGGAGATTGCTTATCTTGCTATATTTAATAGAATAATACAAACCTGTAAGGTTTGACTGCTGAATAAGGAAAACATCTTCCGCCATCATGTGGAATGTTGGGGAATCTTCCCTTCTTGGATGTTTTTGTTCGTTTGTTGGCTTGCACACAAAATAAATTGAATTTTCGGACAGAGGAGTAATTGTTATTACCAAAGATAAAACGTTTTAAAAATTTGTGGAGTTAACAGCGAAAGGGTATTTGTAAAAATTAAATTTTCACAATGTAGCTTCTACCTTTTTGACAAGACAGATTTAAGGGGAGAGGAGGAAAATCCTCCAGCTCAGAAAAACACAATGCAAATTCGAAATGGAGACTATTATTTGTCTCACTTCTGTTTGCACTGGGAGTTTTCTTAATGAGGCAATACTAGTACATCTGAAATTAGTTGACTGGCTGCCCTCTCTTTACTGCTGCTTTCTTTAGACATCATAAGCACTTTTGTGGCATCATTCAGTGTCACAGCTACTTTTCTTCTCAACACTTCTCATTTCAGCACAGTTGTTAAATACAGCCGTCCATCTTGTTCCCCCCAACCTTTCTTTTCAGCGCACCAGCTGTTTTCTAGGGGTGGCAGAATGACCCACTTCGCTATGATGGAGGCCAGAGACACGAGCCAGCCTGGAAACTCCTCCAGCCGAGAAAGTGAAGATACTCCCTGCACCTGCCGCACAGGGCCCTGTTTCAAAGGAAACCTTTGGACCCAGTTGTCACCCACCCTTAATTTATAGGCCAGAAAGAACCTCCACCAGATGCCATATGCATTTCTTTGAAGGGATTCATCATATTCCACAGCTAATAAAATCACCTCTCTGGTGGGAAGATAAGTGGGAGAAATGCAGTAGAGATGGACACCAGCGAGTGCCACGAACAGATCCCATTGAACCCTTATTATTAGGGCAAGAAATGACGATGTTGGAAGCCGGAAAGACATCGTTAGGGATTGCTGCTGACATTGCCAGTGTCGTTTCTAAATGAAATTTTTAGTTTTTCATGGAGGAATGTGTGTGTGTGTGTGTGTGTGTGTGTGTGTGTGTGTGTGTGTGGAGCTGGACTTATAAGGAAGATGCAATTTTCCACTCTCTCACCTAATTTTCCACATAGATTCATCTCTCTTTCCTCCTTTAAATACCTCATGAAAAACTCATTTTGGCCCTGAGTTTCAGAACTCAAGGAATGAAGGAGTTAAACCTATTTCTTTTGGTGAGGGGAAAGTTGTTTCCTGCAAATATATTTCAGTAGCCTGGGAGAAATGTTCTGCTAGATTAGGTTGATTGAAAAACTCCACTGATAAGAAAGGAAATGAAGAAGTACCTGGAACTGTGTCCCTCATCCTATCTAGAAGTCTGTGGTCACTCTGTCATTTTAAACTACTGCTCACAACTCCCGTTTTCAATAGGCCCCCTTTCCAACTGAATTATATATGATCTACAAAACAAACACCCAATTTCCTCAGTTTCTCCAAGAAGAGGTAATTTATTTTAGCTACATCCGTGAATTCAGGGTGTGTGCATGTGCGCATATTTTTCCGTAGAGATGAATGTGCTTAATTTTTGGAAAAAATAAAAAGGATAGAATAGGGAATGCTTTTCAAATTTCATTCAGAAAAGCAAGTTGAAAAATATTTTTTCCTCCTACCCTTACAGGGCACCTCTTATGTGTCCAGTACACTGTTAGCGACTTTTCCCCAGAAGGGCTTGTTGTGATGCTCGCTCATCTAGGATTCATTCGGCAGCTGGAGAGTTAGGGCGGATGGACCTGAAGTAGGTGTTCAGCAGCTTCCTGAGGGTTGCTGCTGGCAGACTTCTCAGAAGCCAAGTCAGTGGTTTGCATATGAGTGTGGGAGCATGAAAACCTTAAGCACAGGGGACTTTCTTTTTCTGCTGTAGACTTGCAGTTACTTGTCCATCAAGATGCTTGGACCACCAGGTCACTGCTGACAAGAAGTACAACTGAGTTTGGAATATACTGAGTTGCTTCGGCTCTTACTAACGATCTTTATCTGGAATCTTTCATTAGAAGCTAAGTTCCCAGGTGGCGAGGGTGAAATCGTCCCTGTGTTGACTCATGTCTTTGTAGCCTTCAGGAAAATGTTATGTCTACCGAGGAGCCTCGGTCTGTGTTTATCACAATGACTGTGACAAAGGAGCTAAGGAGTTGTGCATGTGCACTGCCGAATTGCTTGGGCCAGGGAGAGAAATGGAAAAAATAAAAAGCACAAAAAGTAAAAAGGACACGGTATCAGAAGGAGCAGATTGTTGAGGTTTGTTGTCATTGCTTTCACAGTGAAACCTATTTAAATAGAAGGTTATAGATAGGAATTTGCTATCAAGTCAATTTACTCTTTACTCCGAAGCTATTTTTTCATAGTGAAATACTTAAAGGAGCCTGAAGTGTTCATACACAGCTTTCTGACCTGAACTTGTAGAGCCAGCAGGCAGGGTCTTACCCTTCTCTCTTTAGTTCATCGATAAACTGTGCGCTCCTCTTTCCGTAATAATTAGTACTCATTAAGACAACGGCCAGTTGTCCTGGATTCTAAATTGGTTTCTTGCAGTGGTACTTGGATAATTTAAAGTTTAATTGTATGAAACTCTGACAAGCTTTCAATGCACACCTTATATAGTAAAAACAAGGAGTTTTGCATTTCTATTCAATGACTCGGGACATATATGGTACTTTGTGGAATACTCAGGATACACATTATCCTTTTCTGGAAAGCATAAAAATTTCAAAGGATTCAGGAAGATAGGGACTTGATATTTTATGATATTATCAACTTTTTTTTTTCTTTGTGCTGTGGATTGAACTCAGGACCTGGTGCTTGCGAGGAAGGCAGTGGAACCACTGAGCTAAATCCCCAGCCCAACATTATCACCTTTAAACTGTGGATCTCCTTGAGTCATTTCTTGGTTCTAACAAATGTGAAGGCTTCATTTTCGTATGAAAAATCAATCTGATTTAGTTGTACACTTTCATCAATAAAAATAAAGCCTGTAAACCAGTCACATCTCTATGGATTCTTCCTCATCATAACTGAAGACAGGAACAAGTGAAATGGATAGCGTTTTGTAACTGTTTGGACCAGTTTAAATAAGTAAAATAGTACCTGATTTTGACAAGCCATAGAACAAAGCGTAAAAATAAAATGTAAATAAAGAAGTCACACACGTGTTAATATCTAATAGTTTCTCTGGTGTGAAAAATAATCATGGTAAATAAGATCCTAATGATATAATTGACAATGTGAAATAGGAAGAAAGGGGCTAAAGGTGTACAGGAAGTGGGAAGGGTAGGGGAAAGGAAATAAGGGAAAAGAAAAAATATGAGAAAATGAAAAAATGGCAATAAAGTGTTTGTAAATCGGGAAGGGAGGAGGGGGTGAAGGGAGGGCAGGGGAATGGGGAGAAAATGAGAACCAAGGCCTGTCATGGAAAGGCACAAGACCCCAATGATGAATGGAACTGTACTGTATACCTAGAATGTACCAATAAACTCAATGAGGAAAACAATGTAACACAGTCTGTGCGGATGCTCTATTGAGATACTAGACACATGCTGTTCCTTGGATATTTCTGCTGGTTAAGGCGATGACAGTAATGGAGAGACTTCCACATGTGGCACTGACGGCACAGCTTCAACCCACATTTCTTAGATGAGCTCGATGAGAAACCCACTCTGCTGGATTTCCACTCACAGCTGCACTTCCTACTGACCAGCATACGGCATAGCACAGTTCTGTAACAGTCCACGCGTACCTGCACTTCCTACTGATTTCCAGGCTGACATGTATTTGCCTGCAAGCATTTGTGAGATTGTTTTCAACATAGCCCACACGACAATAATGCCCCGTGCACACACATGGGAAAAACTGGGTCTAGGTTAAAAAAAAAAAAAGGAATGGAAATAAAGTATAAAATGTTTATATTGCTCCTTTTTAAATGCCTTGCTGTTTATGCAGCAAAGACATAAGATTTCCCTCAGTATTAGCTCGTAAGAGGAAGTAGAGAAGACAAATTTATCACACATATTCTTCCTGTTCTTTAGATACTAATGGAAATGGAAAATTGCCCATGCTTTCTATTAAAAGTGTAATGGTTTAAATGAATAATCAAGCTGGAATGTCTCAGGCACAATGGAACTAAGGAGCACAAACATTTACTGGTCAACAGAAACAGTTTCTGCAAGTAAAAGGCCTACTTCAGGTCATCGGTCTCCCTCTACGGGCGCTCCCACCCATCTCTGTGAGGTTAAACAAGAACTGCAGTAAGAAGCATGTTTATCTGGGAGTATGAAATGCCCCGAGGCTATTCCCAGTTTTTATAACGATTGCTTAAACTTTTTGAAAACTTCAGATTGCATTGTTGTGGCAAAGTTCAAAGGCAAAGTTTACCACTAGCAAAGTAAGAATCACACAGTGACCTGGAATCTGTACAGGAATGTTCCAAAATTTGTGTTGTAGCAAGTCCTTGGCAATATGTTGTGTGGTGTGTGATTTTGGAATGAGTGCTAAGGCAGGTGTTTTTAGAACACTCTGTACTTTTAACTCAGAATTAAGTAGCTGTGTTGGGGTGGCATCATCCATGATTTGAATATTGAGAGATCTTTGAAAATTTAGATTATGAATATTACAAACAGGAAACAGCAATACTCTTGGAGCTTATATACATAGGTAGTTGTTGATGCAAGAAATGAAAGCAAAAGCCCAGGCAGAGGGAAGATGTTGGGGAACATGTCTAGACACTTACTGGATACATACATTTGCCTTAAATTGTCAATAAATTTTCAACAAGAATTTCTTAGATGCTGGCAAAGAAAATACCAGTAATTTTAAGCATTTGCAATCATGTAGACAAGGGGATATGGGAAGTAACCCTCTACAGCAGAATATACGCAGGGAAAGGAGAGAGGGAGAGGAGAGACTCACTGATTATGCCTGGACGGTAGTGTAAAATGGGCAGGCAGGGGGGGAGAACAGTGCCTTGGATGGATTGGATAATGACTATTCTATGTATAGAATTTACCGTTCAACCAGCGAAGGAGAACCAGCTGGTGATATCTACTAAGGCATTTACTGCAAGGAATTGGCTTTTCTTTTTTTTTTT